AAATATCACATTTAAACCCAAAAATAACTCTCTTTTAGAGAGTTATCACTTACTTCAAAGAATTATCGTTTTACCCTTTTTACTAGCATATCTCCTTCCATAGAGGTCCAATTTGGACTAGCCATACACCATTTCAAAGGTTGAAATGTAAGCTATTACATGTCAAAATTTGGTACTATTTTAAGCTGTGTAGAGTCCTGTAGGTCCGAAAGTGTAAGGACTGTACGATCTAGTCATGTGCAGGGGCTCTATGGGTCCCCTACTTCCAAAAATATTTTCTCCCTCAATTCTTACTCAAATTAGGCATATGAGACATCATATTAAATCTCATGATGTCTATTATTTTGTATACAAATTTGAGATCAATTGATTTAGTAAATCGTCTAGAATTGTAGAAATGGTAAGGGAGGTTTGGTGCTCTGTTTGGAGTTGGCTGGCAGCTTTGCTTGTCCAACTTCAATCGGTTATAACCGGAGCTAGAGAACTCTAATTGAGACGTATGATACCTTGCTGGAAAGCTAATTGAGTCTAGTTTAATATACTAGAAGATGAGAAATTAATAATGTGTATAGCACTCACAGTAGTGGAAAGAAAGAAGCATACTCAGTTTTGGGAACCCCTTAGTAACTTAAAATAAGTAATGTAGGATAGCTAAACATGTATTATGTTAATTCCGCGTATAGATTTCAGTTATGATAATAGTTTATTTCATTACGATATATATTGTTTCCAAACGCTTACGTAATGAAAAGAAAAAAGTTTACTCGTATTTTTAAATAAACTGTTGTGATTGTAACTGTGCTTAATATCATAATCAATGTTAACAATACCGGTGTACGACGGACTGTTACAAAATGCATACCAATTCAATGCCTAAATTGAACCAATTTATGGATCAACCGGTCAAACTAACCGAATTGTGTCGATTTTTATAACACTAGTTACATTCTGAAACACTTATAATTATCATTATGTATATTAAATATGACAAGGTAATGGTTATTACATTATCTTTCTGTAGATTAATATGACAATCATATTTTTTTAATAGTATAAAAATACTACATTTTAACAAAAAAAGAGAAAAAGAAATAATACTTTAAGACATTGTTACTATTATTTTATTTTTGAGATATTATAATCGGTTTATCGCTTTGCAACAAGTTCAATTTGGAGCGAGTCCCAAGATTAAGATTTTAAATCTCTCCCAAAGACAATACTGGGGAGAATCAAACACGTGTTCTCACACTTTCACTTACTCAGTTCCCTAGCAACAACTGAACTACCATTTTTTGGTTAAGACATTGTTATTATTGTTATTACTAATACGTAATACCTCACAATAATGGCGGATTTAAATTTTTTTATAAAGGAGGGAAAGTTATAAGTTGAAATTATTCCTTATAAATTATAATTATTTATATGAAAAAGAATGAAAATGATACTTATTACATATAAACTTAGGAAATATATTTATCATATTATATAAGATAATTTCATCGCATGCAAGTGATGCAACACATAAAAATTGGGATTGACCAACTAATGAAAAGAAAGAGAAAGAACAAAATGTATCTCATCCACCTTTTATATATATGTATAAAAGAAAAATTACCTCAGAGTTATATTTCCTTAATACTTAACACTTTCAGGGGGTGTTTGATATGTAGAATCTGATAGGAATGTAAGAAAAATGAGGTAGGTAAAATATAATAACCATGTTTGGTATGTCTTCAAGTTAGAAAATACCGGTATATTTTTCATCCCATGCATTTCGTTTTGAACTGTGCAACGGGAAAAAAAATTACAATTTGAAGCGTGGTATTTTTTTAATCCGAGTAATGGAGAAACCCATTTTATGCTTTGTGGACAAAAATGCCCTGAAAAAGTGTATATCGAGTACAACTTCTGAACAATGATAGAAGTGATAAAAAATCGTGTGGCTTAGTTTATTTCAGTTTAGATCCACTGTACGTTTGTTGAGTGTGATTCTAATATTTTAACATTATTTCACCATCAATATGGGTAATTTCGTAATCTCATAACACATTCCCATCAATATTTCACCATCAACCAAACATAGCATTAGTAAAAATAACTCAACTTTTCTGGCAAAATTTTTGCTTATCAAACACCTTTTTGTAACTTACCCGGGCCAAAAAAGTTACCCATCATATTCCGGGTATTTTTTTTCAGTAATAAAAAATTTCTCCCATATATACCAAACACCCTTTCATTTCAAATAAACTGTCAAAGATTTTAGTCATGCATACCACAAGGCGAGGCGTGCTACATGTGCATCAATAGTGCCCGGACGACGGAATTTTTTAATATGCTCCCGAATCATCGTGGTCCTTTCACTCAAAAAATGACACCTGTATTATTTTATTCTTTTTTTTCTCTCTCCTCAACTTTTTTTCTTTTTCTCTCACCTCAGTCCCACTAGGGGTGTTCGCGGTCTGGATTGGATCGGTTTTGGAAGCAAAAATCATCTGATCCAATCCTTTCGATTTGATCATCTAATCATCCATTCGGTTTGAATTTTTTTTCAAATTCGATCTGATCCAATCCACTTTTTTTCGGTTTGGATTGGATCGGTTTTCGGTTTTTTGAAAATCCTAAAATTAGTTTCATAATTATTGTGCAAATAACATCTTTGGTATATATTGGCTTTGTAAATTTATTTATTTTTTGAAATACAAAAGTATTAGTAAACGATAATATAGTTATTTTTTTGGGCAATGAGATATGAAGCTCTACACAGATAAAATTTTGTTGATGAGATGTGACTAGGTTTTTTTTTGGGTTTAGTTGATGGGTTAATGGGTCTTGGGTTTAAAAAATGTAAGGTTATGATTGGAGAAAGGCCCAAGTAGGTAGAGGGGAATTAATATATTGGATCGGTTTTCATCAACCATCTGAAAACCGATCCAATCCAATTAAAATTTGCGGTTTTTTTTCGGTTTTCGGTTTTTCAATTTTCGGTTTATTCGGTTATCGGTTTTTCGGTTCGGTCACCGTGGTTTGAATCGGTTTGGATGAGTTTATGAACACCCCTAAGTCCCACCCATACCTTTTGGTCCCGGACCACTGTAAATTTGCTCCCGGATTACACAGGTCGATTTTGTTAAAAAGTAAGTGACAATGATAATTATATGAGTAAGGATATTCTAACTACCAAAAATTCTTACTACTAATTTACTACTCATCACATCACCATTGGATCAAAGAGAAAGAATGTTAAAAAGTTTTTGAAGAGAGAGAAAATGTTAATCTAATGGTAATTAGATGGGTAGTAAGTTGGTAGTGAAAAATTTTGGTAGCGAAAATATCATTCCTCTAATTATATTTGGGTTTGGTGTTTGTCATTTTAAATGACATAAGTTATGTCATTTTAAGAGAGAGATAAACACAAGAAATGGAAATCATGAGAAAGTGAAAGCGGGTAATTTTTTAATTTAAATTTTAAATAAAAAAAATTTCTTGTATCTATTTCTCTCTTAAAATGACATAATTTTATGTAATTTAAAATGACAAATACTTTTCCAATTATATTTTAATCTAATTTGAAAAGTAAAATACGGTAAACGTTACCTACCTTTAGCTTGTCCTTACCTACACGTGCCTGCCGCCTCTCTTTTTTTCTTCAAATCTCAATCTTTATCACAAAAGAAAATTCTACTTCTACTTCTCCTTCTCCTTACACCATAGAAATTGATGTACTAATCCATTGTACTATGTACAATCGATAATATATTATTATAATGATAAAATTATATTGAACAATCGATGATGCCTAAGAAAAAAAAAGAAAATAATAAATTTATAATTATAATTATATATCTATATTAATTCTTTTTTAAGGACCACAAGTCGATAAATATGAATTTTCTTTAAATTTTTAAGGGATCACAATTTTCAAGAATTGAAATTTCAAAAAAATTACAAGTCAACTTTGTTTTTCCTAAAAGATTAAAATGACTTCAATATTTTTTTTTTTTTTTTTTGACGAACCAAAAGAGTATTTACCTTAGAAAAATTATATATCACTCTGTTGATAATCATGTATGAAATCTTTTTTATTTTTTGTTCTTATTGAAAGTGATAGTTATCATAAAAAATTAATTTAATCCAAAAATCTAATTTATTAAATGAAGCTATATTATTATTTTTCATATTTCTTCAACATGTTCTCTCATATGCCAGTCCATTAGACTTAAAGGATAGATAATTTATCAGGTTCAATTTAATTATATTAAAAAAATTCAAAATATTTAATTATTTTTATCAATAGAATGTGAGTGATGAAAATCAAACTCATGAGATTACTTGCTCTGTAACAGTTATATAATATTGACCCATACTGTATATAAAATAGCAAACACTAATAAAGTGTGAACTAATTGATATTTCACACGGATTTATAGTCAAACGTGGCATACTGTATATACAAAATAATAGGGAATTTATTTTCTTACGTTCCAGAAGAGAAATATTATCTTTTATACTTATATTTTTAAATAAGAATTTTTTTTTTCTCACCTTCAACTTTTCTCTCTCTCATATTTATTATTTGAGTAAAAGATAATACTTTTCTTATGCAATATAAGAAAAATATTATCCAAAATAATAAAGGAAAAAATGTGTGTCATTTTAAAGAATGTAAAGTTGTGTCATTTTAAGAAAGAGAAAGAGATATATAAAGGATGAGAGAGAGTTAACAAAAAAAAAATAAAGGTGTGGGTTCCACCTCTTTTTGAGAATGAAATGATATAAGTTGTGTCATTTAAAAAGATAAACAATTATTACAAAAATAAATAAATAAACACTTTTCCCAATAATAAAAAGCAAATAAAACGTGAACTAATTGATATACCAAACGAACTTTTGCTTGACAATTGTATATATATGTACGTGTGTGGGTGATCACCGTAATATCACATGCAATGTTCACAGAGAGTTGAACATCGGAGTTTTGCAACATTAGCCAACCTAGGGTAATGGCCCTACTCTGTACCAAGTTGCTCAATTTGTCCTTCATTTCACCAGTTAGTTTCGGCAAACCTCAAAAAGAAGGAGGGCCTTATCTTCTCGGGCATAGAAATGGTTCTCCCCTCCGATGCTTGGCAAGCAAAAACGTTTGTGAAAGAAAATCAGCGAATTACCAGCCTAACCTCTGGAATTACGATTTTTTGCAGTCCTTGAAACATGATTATGCGGTGATCAATTCATCTTACAAATAGATTGTGTCTTAGAAATATATATACTATGTTCCTCACACATGATTTGCTCTTTGTGTATAGGATGTAATACATGAAGACAGGGTCAGGAAACTACTGGAGGAAGTGCGAAGAATGATAAAGGATGAAAATGCAGATATATGGGCCACACTGGAGCTCATTGATGATGTGAAACGCTTGGGCCTCGGGTACCACTTTGACAAGGAGATAGGAGAAGCCCTTGATAGATTTCTCTCTTTAGAAAGATGTAATGGCACAATCATTCACACAAGCCTGCACGAAACTGCTTTAAGCTTTAGGCTCCTCAGAGAATATGGCTATGATGTCTCAGCAGGTATATACATGTTTTGAAGTAGAATTTACCACGCTCTTTGTCACGGACAAACTCTCGTAAATATTTAAGATGTTAGCTGTAGACACATGAAATTTTTTTATATTATATTATATAAGAAGTATGTTTCTTACGTTGCACGAAACAAATACAAATATAAATAAGGTTCACTTTTTTTTTTTTTTTTTTGGATCCCATTGACTTTTTTTTACGTTGCACGAGATAATTTGTTTTATGCAATTCTCATATTCTTTATATTATATTTCTATACATTTCCTCAAGTTCAATATATTTTTAGAATTGAAACATCAACGATATACAAATCAACCGTAACAAGAGCCTGTTTAGGGATTCAAACATAAACAACATAAATTGATTCACCACACCTAGAACTTGTAGGAAGTTGGGATTAACCATAAGAGCTACATAGCTCTCTTTAAATTTTTAACACAATTGTGTACATAGGATTCAAATTCAAAACCACTGATTAAGTTGAAATAATCTCATTGTTATGAATGATTTTTATGTATATAATATTATATTATTTCTCCGACACTCCTTTCGGTATGGTTCCTCTTAGGGATGTGCAAAATTTCCAAAAGAACCAAACCGATCCATAACCAAACTGCTCTACATTTTAAAAACCGGTTTCATATGAAACTACATTTTATTTTATAAACTGATTATTTACCAAACCAAAAAAAAAAATTGGTTTTCCATTGTTATCCATAACCAAATTATTTTACAATTAAAGAACAAAAAAGTATTATCTTTTATCCTTAGCATTAAAATGTGAAAATCACATAAATATGAATCATTTTTAAATGTGACATTATTAGAAAAGTCTCAAATACAAACAGAATTTATCGAAGAAAAATATTTCGTCGAAAATTTGACAAAAATCATATTACGTAGAAAATAGAGACGAAATTTTTTTCGTTGAAACTCGAGACGGAACAAGATTTTGTCATAATCACTGATATAAATTTTTTAGGGATAAAATATTTCAGTCAAAATTCTTGATAGAATCTAAATTCCGTCAAAACTTTCAACGGAAACAATTATGTCAAACTTTTCAACGAAAAATAATTTTGTAAAAAAAATTTGACGAAACACATTTCCATAAAAAAAATTTCGTCAAATTATTTTACGGAAAAAATTTCCGTCCAAATTTTCGACGAAATATATTTCCAGCAAAATTTTCAACAAAACGCATTTACTACAAAAAATTTGACCTAAAATGTTTACGTAAAAAATATTGACGAAAAATATTTCCAGCAAAATTTTCAACAAAACGCATTTACAGCGAAAATTTTGACCAAAAATGTTTACGTAAAAATTTTTGACAAAAAATATTTCCAGCAAAATTTTCAACAAAACGCATTTACAGCTAATATTTTGACCAAAAATAGTTACGTAAAAAATATTGACGAAAAATATTTCGAGCAAAATTTTCAACAAAACGCATTTATAGCGAAAATTTTGACCAAAAATATTTACGTAAAAAAATTTGATAGAAATATTTTTTCGTCGAAAATTTCGATGTATATGTTTTTTTGTGAAATATTTTGAGGGAAATGTTTTGATGAAATTTATATTCCGTAAAAAAATTCGACAAAAAAATTTTCCGTCAATTTTTTTTACAGATATGTCTTTATTCACAAATTTTGATAGAAATATTTTTCGTCAAAAATGTTTGCGAAAAATTTTGATAGAAATGTTTTCCGTAAAAACAACGTGAAAAATTTCTATAAGAATTATTTCGTCCTGAAAGTTCCAAAACAATGAAGATTCTTACAAGAAATAGTTGGTCAACTACCTATAACTGAGAGAAACAAACGACTACTTATAAAAATAGCACAATCTATCAAAAATCGATTTTGAATTTGTTAAAAAACCAGTTTTGAACTTGATAACCGGTTTATGGTGCATAACCGGTTTTGTTTTAAAACCGGTTTTGAATTAAAACCGGTTTAAACCGATTTTAATTCAAAAACGGTTGTAAATCATAAACCGGTTTTAAAACCGGTTTTAAACCGGTTTGGACAAATAAAAAAATGGTTTTTTTTAAAAAAAGTGATTCGGTCTAAAATTCAAACCATTTAAAACTGGTTTGGTTTGGTTTATGACAATAACCAAACCGAACAGCTCCATGCACACCCCTAGTTCCTCTCTTCCTCCTCCTCGTAAACCATATAATTAGCCTTGACTGGATCAAGGTCAGCAAAGTGGATGTAAAATAAACTTTTGAACTCATTCATGTCTTAATTTAAACTTTTGTAGATATATTTGAGAGCTTCAAGGACCACAATGGTAATTTCAAGGCAAGTCTTGATAGAGATGTAAAAGGAATGTTGAGTCTGTACGAGGCATCGTTTTTATGTTATGAAGGAGAACAGATTCTGGATGATGCCAAGGAATTCACTAGCTTCCATCTCAGGGGACTCGATGAAGATAGAAACACTCCTATCCTATTAGAACAAGTGAATCACGCATTGGAGCTTCCACTGCATCGTAGAATCCAAAGGCTTGAAGCACGATGGTATATTGACTCATATGGTAAAAGAATGGATTCAAATCGGGTACTACTTGATGCGGCCAAACTGGATTTCAACGTTGTGCAGTCAACACTGCAAGAGGATCTCCAAGAAATGTCAAGGTACGTCTATGTGTGAACTTTGAAATGTACGTAAATATTTAATTTAATTAAATTTAGAGGTCTTTTTCTTCGAACTACAAGTGCGGACACAACACAACAACATCACGATTTGTTTAAGAGTTACCACGTATATAAGTAGTTCCCTTCTAATAATAAGTTAATAACATTAAAATCGGACATCAATCGCCTACCAAAAAAATAAAATAAAAAAATGGGACATCCATCAGTACTCGTATATATATTGTTTCGTTCGAAAATTATTATTTTTTATCTATAAATTTTTGTTTTTGAAATTAAAACTGTATCGCTTCAAATATAAAGTTTTAGTTCTTTTTAATCAATATCATAAGCGCTTAATCGATATATTTTTTTCAAAAAAAATAAAATAAAAATGGGACATCAATCACTCTTATTTGTTTTCGTTACTTCATTTAAGATTAATAAATCTTACTTTTTATCTCATCTCTTGATTTCTATCCAGGTCGTAGTTTACTAAGTTATATTAATTAATTAATTATTAATTTTAAATAAAATATAATTGTTAACACACACACACATATATATATATATATATATATATATATATATATATATTCCTAATTTTATAAATTTGGGTTCAATTTTATTGTAACATAATAATGAAAAATGAAGGTGGTGGAAGGAGATGGGATTAGCCTCAAAATTAAGCTTCAGCCGGGATAGGCTAATGGAGTGCTTCTTTTGGACGGTTGGGATGTCTTTCGAGCCTCAGTTCATTAATCTCCGCAAAGGTTTAACCAAAGTGACTTCCCTAATAACTGTAATCGATGACGTCTATGATGTGTATGGCACCATGGATGAATTAGAGCTTTTCACGGTAGCTGTAGAAAGGTAAAGTATTTTTTCATTAATATAGCCTCGTTATGGAGACTCATTAGTTATATTAGTAAATAGAGTATTGCTGAAATTGTTAATTAGTGCACTAATTGAAAAAAGGTGTTTCTTTCAGTTGGGATGTTAAAGCAGTTCAAGGTATGCCGGAGTACATGAAGATATGTTTCCTAGCGCTCTACAACAATGTCAACGAATTCGCTTATGACGCACTCAAAAAGCAAGGACAAGATATCCTTCCCTACCTCACCAAAGCAGTATGTTAAAATTAATTAACATGTAGTTCAGTTCATTGTTATAATATTTAATTTTACAAGGTAAAGTCTTTTGTTTATTGTTTTTTCAATTCAATTGTAGTGGTCTGATATGCTGAAAGCATTCCTACAAGAAGCTAAGTGGTCCCGGGACAAGCACTTGCCAAAATTTGATAACTACCTCAACAATGCGTGGATGTCAGTGTCCGGTGTAGTAATACTGATGCATACCTATTTCTTAATGAATCACAGCATAACAAAGGAAGCACTTGAGTCACTGAACAATTACCATGCGCTATTGCGCAGACCGTCCATTATTTTTCGACTTTGGAATGATTTGGGTACTTCAATGGTAATTTGGATTACTTTGACCATGCACCTTGTTACATATATTAATATGAAATAATTCTTCATATTTATCACAACTCATGATCAAATAGTCACGAATTCAAATCTTAACACCCTTGACCTCGTTCTTTAATGAAATTAGAATAAATTTTTTTTTTTTTTGGTAACATAAAATAAGTAAGTTTAAAATCAGTATAAGCTAAAGCGAAAAAATGGACACGTGCATAATTGATAAAACCATTAATGTGATATAACTTAATATCTCAAGCTGAAATGATATTCTTTATACACATTGTCATTTTTTATTAACATTACCAAGATTAATGATATATATGCTACTTCTTAATTATAAAGTCGAGCCTATAGAGAGTAGTATAATGTGATTAATTGGTCTTATGTTGTCATTTTACAGGCAGAGATACAGAGAGGTGAAGTAGCAAGCTCGATTCTGTGCTACATGCGTGAAGCTGGTGTTACTGAGGAGGGTGCTTATAAACACATGCACATTTTGCTTGATGAAACTTGGAAAAAGATGAACAAAGATAGAGTCACCCATTCTCCTTTCCCGAAACCTTTCGTGGAAATAGCAATCAACCTTGCTAGAATTTCTCAGTGCACGTACCAGAATGGAGATGGGCATGGAGCCCCGGATAGCACGGCAAATAATCGAATACGGTCCTTGATAATTGAACCCATTGCCCTATAGGGAGAGATGAATGCATCTTTCTTTCTTTTGTGTACAAAGAGATGAATGCATCTTGATCAATGCTGAAAACACCATTATACATGATGCCAAATAATACAATAGTTATGCTTGTTGATAGTGAGATTTCATCTTTTCCATGTGGGCCCAATCTCGCGGATATTTTGTATAGAATAACATATTTATATTTATGGTGATTTATAACTATTAGGAAATAATGATCGGAAATTCTCGCTTTTTCATATATTTACGATAATAATTTTAATGAAAATCTTTGTAAAATAAAAATGTAAAAATTATTATTTTAATTACTGGCCATTGATTTATAAATGATCTTTCAAACCATATACTCATATCAAAAACAAGACATGAGAAGATTTATTTTATAATTATTTCATGTTATGTTGGTTAATCTATATAAGTTAAGCCTAGAGCAACCATCACACAACTGGAAATTATGGGCGTGTTTGAATTTAGTTCTAAAATTTTTTATCTAATAATGCCTGTTTTATAAAATTATTTCTAAAATTTATAACTGCTTTTTAATCTTTAGAATCAAATTTAGAGAATATATCTAAATTGTTTTTATTTTGTGTTTTGATTTTTGACTTTCAAAATAAAATAAAATAAAAAACACAGAAAACACATATTTCATTAATTATTCTACACAACAATTTGAAGAACCAAAATATCAGAACACAATCAAATAGGCATATCTTGTGGCCTATTCACTCTGTCTGTTAAATAATTTAGGTCCTCCTCTTTGTTATTAGGTTCTTTTGATTTCATTCCTTCTCTGGATTGAATGCACATTTTTGTTCGCACAAGTTGACACTTCAAATCTTGGATTTTCATGCTTTGCTCCTCCACAAGTTGTTGCTCCAAAACTTGGATTTTCTCGCTATGCGCTCGCATGAGTAGTTTCTCCAAATCTTGGATTTTTTTGTCCAACGCATGCTCAAGTTGTCGCTTCAAATCCTATATTTTCCTTCCAACCTCTTCATTTTTTATATCTCGCCGGTCTATCTGATGTGGTTGTGTATCTTCTTCAAGAATGAATCCACGTCCTCTACCCTCATGACTACACCGTCTGCAACCTTTGCGGTTCTGTATAGCCATTGGTTGAAGGCAACCCAATATTCTGATACCAAATGATGCCGAAAGCGCAAAGAAAATATGGCTAAATAGAAAGTTGTGATTTCATAAGAGAGAAACCCTATGATGCTCAATTATAATTAACAAAATAACAAAACCCAACTCCTACTTTAAAGGTTGTAAGCACCTTTTTATAGACTAATTACAAATCAATTCAAAATTTAAAATCCTAAAAATAAGAAAAATACTTAAAAAAAATATATAACGATTTTCCTATTTTTGCCAAATAAATCACAATCATATCTGCTACTTCATTTGAACTTGAATTTGATTATAATTTGTTATAATTCAAATTGTTGTTTCTTTGAACATGTGGGCCATACTTTTTTATTGACTGCAAACTTCTTGAATCAATAATTGAGCCTATGTAATGAGATAATTGTAAGCACATCAAAGATTTTATAAAATTATGTTTGCTAAAGTTTCTACTTATAAACAGAAAAGAAACTAAAAATCAGAGTTTGCACTTCATATGATTGTCTATGATATTCCCTGTATTGGTCGCGCGACTGTTGGAGCCTTTATAAACGTTAAAGATGCCTGTAAATTATTTTTCATGATGATACCCTATATTGGTCCCACCAACGTGGAATCATAGTCAATGTGTCGATAGATCAGAGCGTCAAGTCCACAAATACATTGCATTTGCCTCGAACGATAGTAATTTATTGGAACACCGATCAAAATGCCACTCTTCACCAAATTTTTTACTTAAATACCATTCTTCATCAAGTTTTTTACCTAAATGTCACGCGAACAATGTTATTTTCCAATATGTCACGTGGGAAAATTTGTTGTTCTTCCTCCTTCAATGCTAAGCCCAAGCCTGTTGAGGGGTTTCCTAAAAACCCTAACCCTAGATCTCACCTCCTTATATATTCATTAGTTGAGGGTGGAGGCTAAGTTAGAAGAAGAAGTGAGAGAGAAAAATTTGAGAGATAATTATTTGATTGTTTGAGCAAAGCTTTATGCTTTGCATTTGAGATATCTCTAGAGAGAGTTTGAGTGAAACATCTCTAGGGAGGTTTGATTATCACCATTGTTGGAGAGGTTGAGTTAACCGCCACAATGGTGATTCTGGTTATTTGTAACCATTATTTTCATAGTGGATTTTTGATCTGGACTAGGTCCCTGGGTTTTTACTTCTTCATTAAAGAAGGTTTTCCCACGTTAAATCTGGTTGTGTTCTTCTTCTCTCTCTCTCTCTCCTGTTTTTCGTTTTGATTTTTCCGCTGTGCTGCCCGACCTGGTGAAGTTCAAGCCGAGGTATTGTCGAGATCCGAGATCAGGATCTTGTTGATTGACTTCCGCACAAAGGCTGCTTAGCCGATTTTGAGGGAACCGATTTCCCAACAGTGGTATCAGAGCCCGAGTTCGACGGGTTCTGAGGGAGACAAGATGGAGACATGTTCAAGTTGACTGCAGATAATTTCACCTATTGGAGACAGATGATGGAAGATCATCTCTACTGCAAAGATTTACATGAGCCCATTATCCTTGATGAGAGACCGGCAGGCAAAACTGATAAGGAGTGGGAGATCCTGAGTCGAAAGGCGGTAGCCACGATTAGGAAATATATTGATAAAAGCCTCTTTGAGAACGTGTCCGAGGTCACAAACGCGTATGAGTTGTGGACGAAGCTGGAGTCCATGATTCAAAAGAAGACTCCCAAGAATAAAGCATACCGGTTCGCCGACTTGTGAAGCTTGAATACAAGGACGACATAAGCTTGATTGAGCGCCTCAACACCTATAAAGGTATTGTGAATCAGTTGTCAAAAGCTGAGATGAAAATTGATGATGAGATGCAGGCTTTGCTGCTGTTGAGCTCGCTGCCAGAAAGCTGGGAAACTCTGGTGGTGACTTTGAGTAATTCAGCTCCAGAAGGAAAGTTGAAGATGGATGTCGTGACAGACAGCCTCCTGAGCGAAAATGTTAGGAGAAGAGAACGAGGTGTTTAAAGCACGTCTGAGGCCAACGTTGCTGAGAACAAAGGAAAATCTGACTCCCGGGGTAGAAGCAAAAGTCGGGGTCGAGATCGTGACAGAAGAGGAAAGTCCAGAGGTCGATCAAAACCGAAATATGAGTTGAAGTGCTTTTACTGTGGAAAGACAGGCCATAAGAAGCCAGACTGCTGGACCCTGTAGAATGATGAGAAGAACGGCTCTGTGAAGCCGGATCATATTATTCCCAAGAAGAGGGAAGACAAGAGCACCACTGCGGTGACTGCCAACCCGAATGCCGAGATATTCCTCCTTGGTGAGGATAATTATTTGAATGTTGCATATGATGACTGCACCTGGATTTTTGACTCCGGTGCCTCCTTCCACGTTACTCCACACAAAGGTTTTTCTCCTCTTACCGAGGTGGTGATTTTGGAGTCATGAAGATGGGAAATCAAGTGACCAGCAAGATTGTTGGTGTCGGTGATGTAACTCTGACCACGGGTGTCGGATGCTGACTTGTGTTGAAAGATGTAAGGCATGTTCCTGACATGCGTTTAAACCTAATCTCGGTAGGCAAACTTGATGATGTCGGGTTAGTAAACTACTTCGATAGTGTTAGATGGAAGCTGGCCAAGGGAAACTTGGTCGTGGCCCGAGGTAAGAAGGAAGGCTCCTTGTACATGATGCAAGGAAAGATCAATGGCGGAGAAGCCAATTATATTCGTGATGAACCTAGCTTGGAGCTATGGCACAAGTGCCTCGGCCACATGAGCGAGAAAGGGCTCTAGATCCTTAACAAGAAAGGATTATTGACCGGGTTGAAAGGTCAAACGTTGGAGAGTTGCACGCATTGCCTAGCTGGAAAGCAGCACCGGGTTTCTTTTGTGAGACCGAATCAACCCAGACGACGCAGGTATATTCTTGACCTCGTCCATACTGATGTCTGCTCCATGTCAGAAAGATCCCTTGGAGGAACTCAATACTTTGTTTTATTTATTGATGACCATTCCCGCAAAGTGTGGGTATATTTGTTGAAGTCTAAAGACCAGGTACTCCAATCCTTTAAAGAATTCCATGCTATGGTTGAAAGGGAGACTAGCAAGAAGTTGAAGGTGGTCCGATCTGATAATGGTGGTGAGTATTGCGGCCCATTTGATGCATACTGCAGAGCGGCCGGGATTCAACTTGAGAAGACACCCCCCAAGACTCCATAGTTGAATAGACTTGCTGAGAGGATGAATAGAACTATTGAAGAGAAGGTCTGAAGTATATTGTCCAATGCCGGATTGCCGAAATCATTCTGGGGAGAAGCCGTCAAAACAGTTGTTGACTTGATCAACCTCTCACCATTACGACCACTTGAAGGAGAAATTCCAGAACAAGTCTAGACAGGTCGGAAAGCGGCCTATAATCAATTGAAAGTGTTTGGATGCCGAGCTTTCGTGCATATCCCTAAAGATGAAAGGGCTAAACTTGATGCGAAGACTAAAGAATGCATCTATTTTGGTTCGCCGAGTTGTGAGTTCGGGTTCCGACTTTGGGATCCAATCAATAAGAAGATAGTGAGAAGCCGAGATGTGATATTTCATAAAGATGAGAACATTCATGACATCTCGAAGCCCAAAGTCCGGGTAACTGTCAGACGTGTAGAACCCAATTCTCCTGTCTGAGCTGAAGCAGGGGGAGAAAATCAAGAGAATGAAGAAATTGATGACCAGCAACAAGCTGATGATGAGGTCCGAGTTGATGATGAGATCCGGGATGAGAATGATGAACCGGGTTCTCAAGCTGAAGAACAGCCGAGATATCCAACTCGAGAAAGGAGACCCTCTACAAGATACCCATCTGATGAATACACTGTTGTTGTTGAAGACGGTAAGCCTCAGAGTTATGATGAGGCTGT